AAGAGGATACTATAAACAATTTGTGCAAATAAGTTAGAAAACTTAAATAAAATTGACAATTTCCCAGAAAAATGCAACTTGCCAAGACTAACACCAGAACAAAGAGAAAATCCTAATAGCCGTATATCTATTAAATAAATTAATTCATAATTTTAAAACCTTTCACTGAAAAACCTCTAAGCCCAGATGGCTCAGTTCAGTGGTTCTGGAGTGGAGCTCAGAATTTGCATTTCTGGCAAGTTCCCAGGTGATGCTTATGGTGCTCATCTAGCTACTACACTTTGAGAATCAGTGTTATAGGTTACTTTTTTAAAGTTATAATTGTTTCTAAAAGTGTGCTCATTTTAGACTTTGAAAATGACATATTCGTGTCCTTTGTAAAAAATTTTAATGATTTTTCTCTTCTCTGTAAGAGCTCTTTATATATATATTAAAGGTATTAGCTTTTTGCCAAATACGTTGCATACATTTTCCTCGGTGTGTCATATGTCTTTCAAACTAATTTATAAATACTTTGTCATCCAAAAATGTTAAACTTTTATGTAGTTGGAAGCATAGAAGTTATAAAGCAAGATTAGCCATGAATTTATATTGTCAGAGCTGATAATGGGGACTTGGGACTTCACTGTACTCTACTCTCTACTTTTATATATGTTTGAAATTTTGCATAATAAAAATGTTTCAAACATAAACCTATTTATCACTATTAGAGTTTCAATTTATCTAAAAGATTTGTTATTAGGTATTCTGAAGGGTAAATAAAATAGTCTTGTTTTATGTCTTTATAGAGTCCTGGAGATACTCATCATAAAAAGCTACATTCATAAAACTTTTGTTATATTGATTTCATATTTTTGTATGTTTGTTTGAAGTGCTTGAAGCGCTTAACATGGAAAAAATGATGTCCACTATTTCTGGCTGGATGGAAAACCCAAGGCACTCTCTGGTATCAACAGATGGGGGCAACACTGAGGAAATTCCCATATTAATCATCGAAGGTTTCCTTCTCTTTAACTATAAGTAAGCATCCTCACTCTAGTATTGACTCTGAATGGATGGGGACTAAACCTGTGAACTAAATATGCTGTTATTTTAGGCCTCTTGACACTATATGGAATAGAAGCTACTTTCTAACCATTCCGTATGAAGAATGTAAGAGGAGGAGGAGGTGAGTTTTGAAATTACCTTTGTGGATTTTCATTCAAAAGACAAAATTTATGAAAAAGTAGGAAAGCAACAGTATGGAGCAATGTGTATATGCTGTTTTTCAAACAAGGGAAGCCTCAACTCTTTTTACATAATGAGCAAAACCTTTTTTTTTTTCTATAGTCATCCACTTGGAGTAATGCAAAGTACTGTTCTGAGAAAAGGCCCTTATACCTTATACAGACGATGTGGCTCATTTCTCCTAAACCTTCAAATGAAGCAATTCCATGTTGATTATGATTTTAAATTAGTTCGCTTATATTCTGCTACAAGCCACAATGAACACCAGTTAGTTTAAAGTTTAATTCCAACATATTAATGTTTCTGTCATTATTTACATTGATATTTGTCTCTTAATTTTTTTATAATGCACTAGAGGGGGGAAGATAATTATGAGTAAGAGTCAGTGAATTACAAAATTAAGTTTTGGATCAGAGAACTAAATCCATTTTATGGTCTTTATAACTGGTATTGAGTCTTAATCCTGTTTAGATTCAACTTCTGAGTGATTTTCCCATTATCCTGATCATTATCATTTTACTTTATCAACATGTGTTTCTATCAACATAAAGTTTCCTATATGTTTTGATAGTACAAGGGTCTACAAGCCTCCAGACCCCCCCGGGTACTTCGATGGCCACGTGTGGCCCATGTATCTGAAGCACAGACAAGAAATGGAGGACATCCCGTGGGAAATTGGTAAGTGCCTTTTCTCCCTCCACAAAAGGCCTTCTACTTATCATTGCCTCCAAGTACACAAAAGGAAGGACTTTAGGAAGCTTTTTTCTCATGGATTACTTTATGAGGGGACCCTTTAAACCAGAACACTCTGGGCTTCGCGTTTTCCACAGCTGCTCTCCTGGTTTCTGTTTTTCTGTATGACTCTAGTCAAAAGCTTGTCCACTTCCAGATGATCATTTATTCAGTAAATAGTGATTGAATGATTTCCAAGTACAAAGTACTGCCCTGGTGATACCAAGGAAAATAAGGTAGACCCAGTCCCTACTCTTATGAGCCAACATCCTATTAGGGAAACAGATGTTAAGCACACTAGCTGCATGCACATGTCCTTTAGAGCTGTGCTGAGTACTAGGACAGTGAGTGCCTGGGGGACTGCCTAAGTCCCTGTGATCAGGAAAGGCTTCCTTGAGGAAGCCACATTTAAATCACACTCTGATGGGTTTAACTGGACAAAGGGAAGAGAGTTGAAGGGACGTAAGATCACCCCAGACAGTGGGTATGGTACACGAAAAGGCCAGGCAGGGGGCAGGAAGGAATGATTGGCACCTGGAAGAAGGTTGGTGTATTTGTGGTAAAGAAAAGCCGGGGGTGAGGGTGATGCTGGTGATCCAGGAAAGGTCCAAACCCTACAAGGCCATAGTCCAGTTAGGGACTTGAGTCATTATCCCAAGAGAAGTGGGAAGCCGTCCACAGAGAATTTGAATAAGAACATGAGAGATATAAAATTCTTGTTTTAGTAAGATTCCTCTGGCTATGTGGAGGATGGATGTCCTCAATAGAACTGGGAGATCCTGTAGATATGAAGGGTGTATAAAACTGAGGTGTCAAGAACAACACCTCAGGAACTGGCAGGTGCTAGTTTAGAAAACAGAAAAAAGTGAAGTTGCAGGTTTGTAAGGGAGGAATGCAAGTCTGTTTTGCACATAATGAGGTTGGGATGCCTGAGAGCCATAGAGCAGTGATTTAACCATCTGGATCAGGGATCGGAAACTTTTGAGACAGAAGAGCCGCCAGGGGTCAGCAAGCTACGGCTCGCAAACTGTGGCTCTGAAGTAAAATTGAAAATGAAAATAAAACTATCATAGTTTCATTTATAATTTTTTTTTAATTGGGGAATT